GCTTAACCTCAATGTTTGATATACAGTGGAATAAGGTTGACCCGGTTGGCAGGAACATTGGGACTCAATTATTAAATGATTGAAGTGCACTTTGCAACTACCAAGTGCTATAAATATATATGCTGAAGTAAACTTGTTTAACAAAAGACTTGAGCTGAATTTGCCTCCTGGGAGCCCAAGAGCACCAGGCTGAGTGGCCTGTGCTAAAGACAGATCTGTAAAAAAAAAAAAAGACTGATCTGTATCTCAGCAGCAGGAGGGAATAGAGCCATTGCTCCTCCCCCTCCTAGGCCCAGTGGCCCCAGGCCTCTCCCAAACTGGGGAGACAGGGCTTTAAACATTTATCATCCTGGCAAAGATATACTGGGACAATATTCAAAAGATGAAGGCATAGGGAAAGGAATTCCCTCTTGCCTCGATTTTATGAATGTAGATTTTAATATAGATGATATAAGTAGTCAAGTTCTTTCTGAATATTTGATTGCCCAGCATTGTGATAACCCTGACATATCACTGATTCACATAATATGTGTTTATCGAACATTTTTGAAGTGGCCAGATCAATCAGGTCTTGGCCCTATTTGCAGGCTGCTGAGAGGCAGCAAGGGGAGGCAATTGACAGCAAGCAGAGAAGAAACTGAGAAGGGCTGTGAGATGAATTGGCAGTGTTATAGACAAGCATGGTGTGGTGAGTGGGTCAGAGAATGGGGGAGTCATACAAAAGAAAGGGCATTTGAGGAGGCCCTCCAGGAGAAGGCAGCCTTGCTAACAAAGACACACAGATGCCAAGGCTCAGAGGTGACCATGGATATAAGGCTTAAACAAGTGCTGTGAAGTCTGAGATGCAGAAGGAAAGGGGCAGAACTGGGAATATTTCTTTACTGGATTTGAGATGGCTCTTTCTGAGCAACGGTTGGGCATGTTGACAAGATAGAAGATGTGGGCCTGATGAGGTTGGAGGAAGTGTGTCTAAGGAAGAATGGACAAAGGACCAGTCCCAAGATCCCAAGACTTCAGGTGGGAACAAAGAGGAATCATCAGGGAGACTATGAACATAGTAATCAACAGTATAGGGATGCAACAGGAATGTCACAGATGCTAGAGCAAGCTCAGAGAAAACCTCCTCACATCATGTCATCCAGGAAGCAGAAAGTAAAAGGAGGAGCCAGAGAGGGAGATACACATTTCCAAGGCACTTCCTTAGTAACTGCCTCTTCAGACCAGATTCACATTTTCAGAATCAGGAATGTCACAGATGCTAGAGCAAGCCTTGTTCCCAAGGAAGGTGTTCAGTGTGTCAGCCATGTTGGAAGGTTGGCTGGAATCAGGTCTGGAGACTTGCCACAGAATAGGAGGTGTCTCAGTTACTGTTTCTTGTTACTGAGACAAAATGCCCAATATTCAAAGTTAAAGGGGGAAAGGTTTCTTTAGCTCACAGATTGTAGAGGTTTCAGTCCACAGTTGGCTGTCTCCAAGGCAGAGTGGCACATGGAAGAGGGGTATCACAGAGGAGAAACAGTTTATTGCACACAAAAGACAGCGAAAGCAACAAGGGACCTTAACAGCATCATTCTGCCCCCTTTATTTAATCCAGACTACTTAAGGTGGGTAGCACTCACACCCTTAATCCTAGTGCTTTTCAGCCTAGCATTACACCATGAATCTGTTCTAGTGTCCCACACTCTAGATCCAGCCACCTCTGAAAAAGCCCTGCCTATGACCACAGGAGGCTTTAGGGGGACATCTAAATACAAGCCACAACAGGAGGCCAATGGGAACTCAGTGAGGGGGACTCCACTGGGGTTAGGACATGAGGAGTCCAGAAGGTCCAGAAGGGCCCAGAAGAGAATGGCCAATTAGAATGCCAAGCAGAGACTCTGGTAGACTTTTAGGACAATACTTTCAACAAAGAGAATAGAGGAAATTGAAGGGTGCAGCGTAAGGGAGGCTTTTACATGATCTGTATCACTGGGCCTGCCTGCAAGGTAATAGCATGATACAGGAAGGGGTGGCCTAGTATGGGCTAGGGTCAAGGACGTGCAGAGTAGCTTTCAGATGTTAGCAACCATTGAGTTGACAGGAACTTCATAGACTGGAAGTCCTTCCTCCATGAAAAGAAAGGGCATCCCATCCTTGGTAATTCACCCATGGGTAATTCATGGGAGTGGGGAGGGAAATGACTGACATCTTTGAGTGATACGGGCACACAAGCAAGAAGCCAGGAGGTCTGGTGCTCAGTGTAGGCATCTCCAGTATCTCAGCAGATGCCATTGGCATGGGAATGGGGTGCTCACTTCTTGAGAAACAGGTTCCAGGCCGCAGCAGCTCCCCTACATTGAGTTTCTATTAAGAGTATGGTTGGTAAAGGGCTGGGGATTTGGCTCAATGGTTCTGCTGCCTGATTTGCAAGTGCAAGGACCTGAGTTTGATACCCGGTTAACCTCCCCCACCCCCGCAAAAGAGTATGGTTGACATGGGCTTATTTTGTTACAAAGAAAAGTTAAGAGACTATATTAGACAGTTTGGGCTGCTATAAAAAAATACAATGGGGAGTAGTGGTGATGGGGCTTAAACAACAAGAATTTATTTTAACAGTTATAGAAGACAGAAGTCCATGATCAAGTTCCGGTAGGTACCTGCTTCTGGTGAAGAGAATCTCGGCTTTTTAGGTGGCAGTCTTCTCTTTGTTCACATGACTTTTTTGTGTGTGCAAATGGAGTCAGTGGGGAGCACTTGAACTTCGTGACATCTGTGATGTCTTCGTGGTGTCTGTTCTTAGGGGAACTCTGATTGTACTAGATTAGATGTCATTCTTAGAATCTCATTTAACCTTAACTACTACTGGGTAAGCCTTATCTCCTCCAGTGGTGGCAAACATATGCCTTGTGTGCTGCAGCAGTCTACTGCTTATCACTGAAAAGAATTCAGGAGTGATACATACAATTCAGTCCACAGAAAACATCTACTGAATGAAGTAGACACTTCAAGAGAATTTTGGTGGAATCAGGCTAAGTAATCAGTATAAACAGGGACCCTGGATGTACTAATACAAAGGGAGCAATGTCTGCTTAGCTAAGGCCTGCAGCCTAGGCAGCCTGTGGACCCTGCTGTCCACAGAACCTACTCAGCTGTTCCCTAGCCCCTAAAGTTGAGTTTAACAGAGCAGAACCGTGTATTTCAATGTCACTGGGCACTGCTATATTCTTAGTAGCTGAGAGCTGGCTTTGATGGTGCCCACTATGAGGGTGTAGGCCGGTGGGGGCTCTGCTTCTCTTCTCTGTGGACATTTCTATCTGTGCATGCAAAAGCGACCCTTGCCTAGTACAGTGGCCACTGAGCACTAGAAATGTGGCTGTGAGACGTTCCACAAATATCAGATACCCATCTCACAGCCTTTCTGTGGAAAAATCTCAACACTATTGCCTACTAGCTACACGTGGAATATTAGTATTGACTGGGTTAATAAAATGCATTGCTAAAATTATTTCTGTCTGTTACTTGTTACTTTAAAAAATGTAGCTACAAGAAAGAAAATTTAAATTATAAGGTGGTTCCTGCTGTTCCTCCACAGCGCTGTCTTGTAGGGTGGGTCCCCTCAGAGCCTCAGATGTAGAGATCTAACCTGAGCGTGGGTCTCTCCCACTTCCTCCATCAGGGAAGTTTCCGGCCATGATCTGTCTCAGGCCCGCTCTATCCCAGCCCCAGGCCAAAGTGACCCTACCTTGGAGGTATTTCTGGACTCCTACATCGATGCCGTTTTTCCTTCCAGCCCCTGGATCTCTGTGGGTTTGGTTTAATTAAACGTTCCTAGGTCTGGCTCTGCTGCCCCAGGACCTGGCCCTGTCCAGTGCAAGGTGCTGCAAGTGGGCAGCAGCTGGCTGTAGAAAGCACCTGACTTAGGGCTTGTTTCTTAAAAGGACGTTTCCTTTTACAGTGTTCTTGGCGCAACAGCGTTCTAATTTTTCTAAGTAAAGTCATGCATCAGGAACTGGGTGGACGTGTTAGGAAATTGCAAAATCACATATACTTGTTCTGCCGGGAGTGGCTGGGGTGCAGAACCCGGTCACTAGAGACCGGGTAACTGCAAGCTGGACTCCAGGGTTTGGCAGAGGCTCCTTCCCCACACTCCAAGACTCCCCCCCCCACCCCCGCTCCGCCGGTCCCATTCCCTCGAAGGCCCTGACTGAGGCTGGAAACAAAGCCGCAACCTGAGGAGCCCAGTGGAAGGGAACTGGAGCCCCAGGTATCCGGTCAGAGCGGCAGGGAAACCCACGGGTCACCGAGCCCTAGAACGCGCGGCCCCTTTAAAAGGCGCCGTCGGAGGTGGACCGTGACGTATTACAAGTGCGGAGGGGAGGAGTCTGTGCGCAGTCGCGGCTTGGTGGACTGGGCAGGGCGGAGCGTGTGGAGGCTCGGCCCGCTAGACCGAAGCGCCGCCGAGGAGCTGTACCGTTCCTCACCACGCCGGCTCCGCCCCATCTCAAAACACCAAGG